CACAATGTCAAATGAATACTTTTACAAGTATTAAACATTTGAAAGAAGAAATAGCAATTATAGTTATAATTTTTATTATTTTTAAAGCATGTAACTGCTTGATGTTTAAATCTAAAGAAAATATAACTAGAAAAAATTCCACGCGGACCAGGCAGCAGACGGGACTCGAACCCGCACCCTTCGCAATCCGGGCGAATGCACTGACCAATTATGCTACCGCGGCCCTCACGGACCGCGTCGAAATTCTTTCTAGCTATTCTTAAGCTGCAAGGCAGCGCCATCTCTTCGCATTATAGGTAAACCCACAATGTCAAATGAATACTTTTACAAGTATTAAACATTTGAAAGAAGAAATAGCAATTATAGTTATAATTTTTATTATTTTTAAAGCATGTAACTGCTTGATGTTTAAATCTAAAGAAAATATAACTAGAAAAAATTCCACGCGGACCAGGCAGCAGACGGGACTCGAACCCGCACCCTTCGCAATCCGGGCGAATGCACTGACCAATTATGCTACCGCGGCCCTCACGGACCGCGTCGAAATTCTTTCTAGCTATTCTTAAGCTGCAAGGCAGCGCCATCTCTTCGCATTATAGGTAAATATATAGTTATATTTTCTTTAGATTTAAACATCAAGCAGTTACATGCTTTAAAAATAATAAAAATTATAACTATAATTGCTATTTCTTCTTTCAAATGTTTAATACTTGTAAAAGTATTCATTTGACATTGTGGGTTTACCTATAATGCGAAGAGATGGCGCTGCCTTGCAGCTTAAGAATAGCTAGAAAGAATTTCGACGCGGTCCGTGAGGGCCGCGGTAGCATAATTGGTCAGTGCATTCGCCCGGATTGCGAAGGGTGCGGGTTCGAGTCCCGTCTGCTGCCTGGTCCGCGTGGAATTTTTTCTAGTTATATTTTCTTTAGATTTAAACATCAAGCAGTTACATGCTTTAAAAATAATAAAAATTATAACTATAATTGCTATTTCTTCTTTCAAATGTTTAATACTTGTAAAAGTATTCATTTGACATTGTGGGTTTACCTATAATGCGAAGAGATGGCGCTGCCTTGCAGCTTAAGAATAGCTAGAAAGAATTTCGACGCGGTCCGTGAGGGCCGCGGTAGCATAATTGGTCAGTGCATTCGCCCGGATTGCGAAGGGTGCGGGTTCGAGTCCCGTCTGCTGCCTGGTCCGCGTGGAATTTTTTCTAGTTATATTTTCTTTAGAATATCAATATCGGCTTCGATATATCGCGAAAAAAACATCGATATATCGATATATCGGACCAATTTTCCCAAAAATATATTTAGGTCAGCCTAGCACAGTAATAATAACAATACAAATTATGATTAAAGAAAGAATAATCAAAGTACCAAATTGCCGCTACACTACATGACAGTACGAAAGATGACTTCTTCTTCTTCTTGCTACGGGCGTTTCCGCAACTCGACGTCCTTAGGGCGCCTGTTTTGCGTGAGGAGGGTGTATGGCCGGAATCACTCCAGCCAGCCCTGCTCCGCCAGGAAGCCCCCAGGGCCTTCACGTTGGTGGTGAGTGAACGTGAGTAGCTGTTTCTTCTACCTCCATGCATCCTCTGCATAGGGGGCTGTCCGTGACACCTATGTTGAAAAGATGTCTGTTAAAATGTGCATGCCCAGTAATAGCACCTGTTACCATGCGCAATGTAGGTTTGCTTAGCTGTAGGAGAGTTTTGGAAAAGGCAGCGTTCACCCGTGGCAAAGCGAGCTTGGTCTGCCTGCACGTCTCCAGATCGAGCCAGTGTTGCTGGTGTAGTGCGGCAGTGTGCTCGCGGATTTTATTGACGAGACAGCTTACCGGTATCGGGACGATTGGTTCTGGACCTGTTGGGGTCGTATCGGATCCCTTGCGGGCCAGCTCATCCGCAGCGTCGTTTCCGCGTGATCCACTGTGTCCCTTGATCCATTGGATGGTAATAGAATTGCTCGACCCTACCGTGTTTAAGGTTTGGTGGCATTCTTGTAGTAAGCTCGATCTGACTAAACAGGCATCTAGAGCTTGTAGGACTGATTTGCTGTCAGACAGTATTCGTATTTCCTGTCCTGTTACCTTCCTTGAGAGGATCGCTCTTGCCGCCAGTGTGATGCCCATACATTCAGCTTGGAAAACTGTGTTGTACGGGCTTAAGGGGAAAGCGACGTGTATATTGAGGTCCTCAGAGAAAACACCCGCGCCCGTGCCCGATGAGGTTTTAGAGCCGTCGGTGTAGATCATGAGAGCCTTGTGTGTTACCTTTGGATCGTTGTCATCCAGTAGATGTATTCTGTACTTTTTGTCAAATATGAAGGCGGGTATTATTTTGTCACATGCCGCATCTATGAGCGGAGTATTTACCCATTCCTTCAGTATACCGTTGAGATGCCTTACTCTTTCGAACCTTACCAGTCCAAACTTTTGTAGTCTCAACGCTGTTTTAGCCGCTTCCTGTCTTATGTAGATATGGAGCGGCGTGATGTTTAAAATAGCTTCCAGTGCTGCGGTTGGCGCCGTACTTATGCACCCGGTCACCGCGCTGCATATCTGCCGCTGAAAGCTTTGTAGTTTATTGACACAGGTAGTCTGGATAGATCTCGGCCACCATAATGATGGCGCCATAACTTACCATTGGTCGTATGACTGTGTAATATAACCATAGGAACAGTTTTGGTGCAAGGCCCCAAAGCTTCTCTAACATTTGACGGCATTGCCAAAGTGTTACGCTGGCTGTCTTGATTTTGTGTTCCACATGGTTACTCCAGTTTAGTTTGCTGTCAAGTATAAGCCCTAGACACTTTACCTTCTTCGACAGTTGTAATATGGTACCAAACAGCTTCGGCAAGTTGAAAGCACCTACGTCACGTTTGATTGTAAACATTACCAGCTCTGTTTTAGTTGGATTAACTGTGAGGTCGTATTTCCTGCACCAGCATTCAACCAGTTTCAAAGCACTTTGCATGGTGTTATAGGTAATGCTGGCGTGGGTGCCTAGGGTAAGTATAGTAATGTCATCTGCAAACCCTATGGTGTAGTGGTGGTTCGAGTTTAGCTTGGTCAGCAGTTCGTCTACTACGAGGTTCCACAGAAGTGGCGAAGGAACCCCTCCTTGCGGACATCCTCGTGCCACCAGTGCTCCTCTGCTGTCCTCACCTTTTACCCGAACTATTCTATTGCGAAGCATGTTAACTGTCCAGTCAATGATTTGTTGCTCCACTCCGTGTCTTCTGAGAGCAGACTCGATACTGGTGAAGTTGGTCTTATCGAAAGCACCCTCTATATCGATGAAGGTCCCGAGGCAGATAAGTTTATTTTGAAAGGCTTCTTCTATCTTACCGAATAACTGATGGAGAGCCGATTCAGTAGATCACGAAAGATGACTCGCGAAATAATAATAGAACGAAAATTATCTCCCTAAAAAAGAGACCCTATTTTCGAATGAAGAAAATGATTGCAGGGCCTCTCAGGTGCCAACTTTCGTAAACAAGACTAGACAGTCACACACTTCCGCAGAATATAATGGAATTCAGCACAACCAATTCACCAGCGAAACAGATTTACAAATCATAGACAATACTAAATACAGCACTAATCATAGATAATATGTTGAATATCATTAATCTGAGATCCAGTTACGATTTTTCGAGATACGAATTTAGTTAGATCGTGATATGCTACTAATAATAATAAAAAAATCGTTTTTGATACGAATTTCGATATTGGTTATGTTGTATCGATATATCGAATCCAAATATATCAGCTAAAAATATCGATATATTTTCAACAAGCAACAAGCCTACCAGTGTGACCGTTTTTGGTATTTTCAGTACTAAATTGGTATAATTTGGGCTCCGTAAAACTGATCTAGCTTTTTGTTGGTATAATTTCAAAATCTGGTATTTTTTAGTACAATTTTAAACTTATAACAAGTTTTAGCATATTTTTCGCATTATTTTTTGGCAATTGGCAACACTGACTTCCATTCGTTCACTTAAGTCTTCTACGCACTATCCATCTTGCTGGATCCAGCACGCGGGACAGCGCTATACACGTAAAAGAGATGGGGATACAGGATCTCTAGATATGGAATTACATGAAATATACTTAGGTGTAAAAGTATCTAATGAAATAGCGCTGTTAAGAAGTCAATCAAATAATAGTAGTATCGAAATTAGAGATTTTTGCTAAGGTGTCAAAGCTTTTTGATTGAGCTATGTAATCAACTTAAATGTAGATTTCACATTCATGAAAAAATATTTTCCGAGTTACGGTTCATAGATCCTATGAAAATTTTACATAGCTAATCAGCGTTATGAATAGGTTTTCAAACATCATAACAAATGATACCACAAAACAATTGATTGACGAGGAATATCGTCAAATTAAATACGATTCCGAAGTACAAAACTTAATGTGTGGTTCCAGTAGTAGTACAAGGGCAGCTGTAAATGTAGAACAGTTTTGGGACAAGCTGAGTCATTTTCTTGATAGTAGAAACGTCAAACGTCTAAATACAAAAATTTTACTAACTTTGTTAAATGTCTAATCTGCATACCCATTTCTAAAGCTGAATGCGAAAGATTTTTCAAAAGTAAAAATTGTTAAAACAGACTATAGAAACAGATTTATATCTAAACATATTGCGAGCATTTTACATGTAAAACAAGGTCTAAATGAAAATTGTGTCTCATTTGACCCACCGAAAGACATGTTAAAAAAAACTCGTCCAATATTGACTATTTAGAATAATTCATATGTGTAGATATAATTTTATTGTTTAAAATATAATAAATACAATTTGAACGTAAGTGTTTTTTTGTTTGTCCTTCTTTTACGATCCAAAAGATATTTTCAGTGTATATTTTTAGTATAATCCAGCATGAGCTTTGGTATTATTTAGTACTGGGAACATTATGATTTTAGTAGATCACCTTTTTTTTAAAACGGTCACACTGAAGCCTACATTCATCATTGCGCGTTGCGCTTGCGTTGTGTTGGGTGCTTGTGTAGTGCATAAAAATAGATTGTAACAACAAAGGTATGAAAACTTGAAATACTTTTTTTATCATATTTATGCATAATAGCTATGGAACAATGTTTATTTTATTATGTAAGTACCTAGTAACGTATTTGTAGTGAGTTATGAAAATTGTTTATAATACCTACAAGTTCAGATCACAGTACAAAAATCTGAGCCTACGAGTAATGTTTCATTTTTGTTTCGGCTGAGATAAATTTTATTTATTTTCTAAAATTACACAGAATCGTCCAAAGGTTCGTACTTTCATTTCTATTAGGTATATCTATATGAAAATCAATTGTTCGTTTGTTATAAAAATCGAGAACTGCTGGGCCAATATAGCTGATTTTGGGTGTGAAATGTTTGTTGTAGTCCAGGGAAAGTTTAAACGGGGAGAAAAAATTGTGAGGAAGAAAGTAAAAAGTACAATTTCATTTTCCCATATAAACTGTTCTACCTTCTTTCTTCTTTGTTAGGCTCGGTTCTACTCTATAATAACCACATTCGATCTACTGTTAGGGTTAGGCGGCACTTCGCCGGTTGCAACCCCTAAAGTGGCGATTACGTAAATAACATACACGTCAAATGGTGATTTTTGAGAATAAACATGTTTTTTTTCAGTATAACGAATGAAAAGTCTTGCTGAGGCATTTGAATTTGAACTATTCGTATTCACATAAAAGCATCGAAGGCATTTTTGAAGTTATACTTCTTTAGGCACGTTATGAAAAAATGACGAGAGTGAAATTTTAAGATGCGCGCGCATCACTGTAACACAAAAAATTAACAGCATGAAGTTGATCGCTTTAGCGACCAACTTCATGCTGTTACTTTTGTGTTTACCGCACATTAAGAAAATCTACCATCAAAATAGAATCTCTATTTAGTGGGTGCTAACGACTGCATTGTGAAGGCCTGTAGAACCTTGTAGTGTAGTAGAACCAAAAACCACATCTTTATTTTTTGTAATAAAGTAACAGTTATAGGTATTCATATTTATAATATTTATCCACATGTTTCTAGTTTGTATATTCAGAATACGTGTTTGAGTTTCATACAAGTGCAAATCACATATTTTCTAATAAATTATATTCAGTAGCGATTTTAATTGAATATTTTGATTATTTATTTATTTTTTCAAATTAAAACTGAACTTTATTGACTGTGTCCTTTTCCAGACTTTTTATTAATTTATTGTAATTAATTATTTGCATGCAATTAAAAACTAATTTTAAACGATGCCAAAGAAGGATAACTTCTCACGCGCCTACATAAGTACACGCACCCATTTTTTAATTTTATCTTTATAACACAGAATTATATATCTACGCAATGTTGTTATATTAAGTGCACATGCAGCGTCTTTGAATTTCCAATTGTGACTAAAGAGAATTGTGGATTTGTGATCATGCACCACAATTTAAGCGGATCACTTTTGAGCCTCGAATGCCGTATCTTCCCTTTTTGTTTTAATCTAAGGCCGTATACAGAAAGAAAGCCGATTAAAGCAGATCAAGCAAAATGTCCGACTCATCGGACGATGATTTGGTTTTGTTAGAAAATGTGTACCTATTTAAAAATGCGAAAAAAAGCTATACTTACATCCTATAAATAGAGAAAGGAAACGTTTCGGAGAATACCATCATTTATTTAAAAATAAATGAAAGGACAATGGCGAAATATTTGTTGAAGTAAATCTATAGCGTCTATAGATGTCATTATCAGAAATGTTAACAAAATAATCTCAAAAGATTTATTAAACAATTAAGGAGGGTTGTCTAAGTCTTGAATTAAAAACTTAAAAAAAGGGACACACAATTGACTATTTTTTTATTTTTTATTGTGGCTTGGACATGATGGCTTTTGAGCCATTCATTTTAAGTGATTTTAGTGATGAAATCAACTTTAAATATGTTGTTCGTATGTTTTGCATCGCTTTACGCTTGAACTGTATTTAATTATCTATCAAAAATATCGGGAAACATTATTATTCAATATTATACTGAAACCATATTAAATAATCTCCACAATACAAAAAGAGTATGGCGACAATTAACGAAAAAAAACTATAACTGTCACTGTCATGCTTGTCATCGAATTGTTGTTGTTATTGTTATCATTATACAGGGTGGTCAAAAAGTCGTGGATCAAACGAAACAGGGGGATAAAGAAAGTTATTTCCAACAAAAAATCTTTCTACAGCATGGCCATAACTTCATTGCACGAAAAGTTATGAATATTTTTGTTTTTTTCAATGAATCTACCGAGTTTTTTTACAATTTAATCAATAAAAAAATAAATTGATTAAACACAATAAAACAAAAGGTGTTGTATTATGACCGGATTATGTATCAATACTACAAAAATTGTATTGGAGCTCTCGGTACCAAATTTAACGAGCAATAAATTTTTTTTCGTAAATTTTGAAGCGTTACAAAGAAGTACTTCTCACTTTAGGAGCACCATGTGAAAAAAAAATGTATTACAGAAAAGTGATCCTGTATTAAAAAAACTTGCTGATTTAATGCTGATTCAAATGAGGTACAACACTTTACTGTGTGACCTTTAGTTTTGGTTTTATGGTCGTTTTTTCATATCAAGGTGCAAATTTCATTAAATTAACCTTATTCAAATAATTTACTAGTTGATCATAAACGGCTAGTTTTTTGTACGTTGGAACGCTAGAAATGTTCTGTTCTTGTCACACTTAGGATTTATGAAATGGACAGACACGTTTTCACACTAACCATTTAATCCTTTGTCAAAAATTGAGAACAGGTAGACCAGTGGTACGATTTGACAATGAAGAGCAAATACTGAGACAGTTAAGAATGAACCCTGGTTAATACCAGAGATTATTTATTACCAGCATTAGCCAACGCCAACGAAATCTCGGGATCCCATGATCGACGGTGCAGCCTATTATTAAAAGAAAAAAATACCACGGTTACCACGTGCAAAGGGTATAAGCTTTACAGCCCTCTGTCTATGGACCTAGAATGGTATTCTGCAGAGAGATGCTTAGACGACACAGAGAGGATCCGCAGTTCTACAACAAAATTTTATGGACTGATTAGTCAAATTTTAGAATAATGGGAATTTTTAACATCCGCAATTTACACTTTTACTCAAGAGTGACCCACATATCATCAGAAATGATCGATTCAAGCATTTGTTTGGTATAAACATGTGGGCTGGAATAATTGACCAGAAGCCTGTGCTACATGAAGTGCCACCAAGGCCGAATGGTGCTCTGTATTTGAATTTTTTACAGAATAATTTGAACCAAATACTCAACGAAGCTGAGATTCCTGAAGATAGAGTGGCAGAAATGTGGCTGCAACAAGATGGCGCCCCGCCTCATTATGCTCGAGCAGTTCGAGGACATTTGAACGAGCGCTTCCCTAACCGGTGGATTGGTCTAGGCGGACCTATTGCATGACCACCCTGGTCGCCCGACCTTAACTCAATAGACTTTTTTTTTGGGGCTATTTCAAAGAAATAGTGTATCAAGGAGAGAACACCGAACAAGAACTACGACAAAAGCTCGAGTTCGCTAGGTTACAAATTGTTATAACAGAGGTGCATTCCGCCGATTACGTGCAAATTTTATTAGGCGGTGCATATTGTGCATTATGGTCAGAGGTAGGAACTTTGAACATTTAATGTAAACATTTTAATTGTAATAAAATTACTAAGTCATAATTGTTCTTTTTATTTCATGATGGCTTCTGAAATTACTACATAGTATGTATGAGCAAGAATCTAAATTTTCCTTTCAATTTACCATTTTATAAAGGACATTGTTCTGCGTCCATACATTGTTAGCCTAAGAACCAACAATCATGAAATATTATAATCTAGGTTTGAAATTCCAAGTAAATTACTGTAAAAACAAAGATTATTAACGGACACTTCTGAGAACTTAAATATTTTTTGAGGTTATGTTTAATATTTAATGATACAAAGGTCAACCTATGAACTTAATATGAACTCAGTATGTATTGAATTAATATTGCAACTAATTCATTTTTATTCGGTACGATTTTAAAGAATAACTATTAGGAAAAAATTGGTTAGGTAGGAATCATGAATAAAATAAAAACTGTAGTGTTGCTTCTTATTTTTTGGCTATTTTTCACATAATTGTATCATATTGTATTTATTTTTGTATATTACATGTATAGGTAGCTTTCCAATTACAGCATTATAGCGCATTATGCGGCATAATGCTTAACGTTGAGTGTTCCAACTACAGCAACGCTTCGCACAATTGAGCACTCTCAAAAGTAATGCTTTCGTGTGATGCGTGCAATCGTACCAACTCAGAGACAGAAAATTAACAAGTGTTTTTTCTTTAAGTTGGCATTGATCGAAATGTTTTATTTATATGTTATCGTTAGTAATATTATTTATTGTTGAAAAATTATTAATACTTTCGTTTCATCATAGTTTTTTTTTTAAATAATCAAAGTTAATTCAAACTGTGTTAAAAATAAATATAAATATGGATGAAGGTACAAACATTGACTTTTTTTTTCAACACTGAACTTAGCGCACTCTGCTGGTGCATTTGAAAACTAATTCACGTTCCAATTAAACATCAGCATAATTCGGCATTGTGCGGCACTGAGTCGCATTATGCTCTGTAATTGGAAAGCAACGATATTGTGTAAATATGCAGCGTGAATGTGTATCAGCTGCTCTTGAATAATTTGGCAGTATTATCCTCTCAGGGTGTTGTGCCACAGGTTCTCTAGCACTTGGTAATAAGGTCTCTGCTATTAGGTAACATCGATGGCATAATAAATAGCCGAAATAGTTAAATTATAGGTAAAACAATCGCAAATAAACATACACAACAGGTAATCCAAAACGAGAATGCACGAATGCCACAGATTACTACGAATGCAAACTGCCTGCACCACAACCACAGAGTATCGAGTTTTGTGCCGGCTCTTCACTAGACAACAGTATGTCCTTGTCATGCTTAATATGGAATAAAAAGGACAGACTGA